CACTTCGAGCGGCTTTCACGTTGGTTCGCTTTTCGCGTTCTTTCATAGTATGTGAAACACCGCATTCCAAGCGAACCCATCCTCACACCATCTCATACCTACCCACTCCACCGCCACCCTACTGTACCCCCCGCACACCCACCGTTCCCACCAAACCAGTGTTCTCACACCCCTCCCACACTCACTCCTGGTCCATCTGGTCTTGACATCCTCCCATCTTCCGAGTCTCATAGTCCTCGGCCTCGAACAGGTCGTTGCCCTTCTTCCGCAGCTCTGGAGCCGCGTCGCGCGTCGCTTCTTCCGCCAAGTCCCAGGAGACGGCTTCCTCGGTGGGAGGAACGGAGCTGCGAGTTGGGCGACAAAAGCAAACAGAATGGGCAAAGGGAAAGGGAGGAATGGGAGTGCCAAATGTTCCGAAACTTGTGGACGTTCTGGCATTCTGGTGCACTTCTGAAAGTGTCCTCTGTCTATATTAGATCATATATGCATGCATGTTATGCATGGTCTATTCAATATTCTCTCTGAACGTCCCACGGTCCCGCGCAATGATCAAACTGCTCAGTTCCAGCTGATTATAAAACGCCTGAAGGCGCTGAACCGGGCGGCGAGCGCCGAAGTGCGCGAGGCATAGAAGTCCCGCAAACGCTCTTCACGGCTCTTGGGCTCCGCCATGGCGGCCGGCGCAACGTGCGGGCGTGCTGCCGTGGTGGAGTGGCTGGAAGCGATTGAGGAGGTGCAAAGGGGTGCTCAAATGGAGAATGCGAGGTCTTCAGCCAGCTGAAATGGCCGAGGGCTGATTCATTGGCTTCAGGATGTTTTCTAAGAAGTGTGCTCAGTTTCCTGGTCTGTGCAGCGGGGACATGAAGTGAAAAGACTGATTGTGCAGTAGAACTTGAACACCTGAAAGCACTTGCTCTGGAATCAAGGGTGCATGGAGCTGGACGTCTTTCTTAGCCCATCCAGTATGTAAAACAGCTGCTGGGGACGCCTTTGCAAACTGTTGGATGCGTACCCTGACAAGCACCCAAGCACAGGCTGAGTCCACTTCTCAAACAGTTGAGGGACCCCATAGGCTAGTCCAGTCCAAGACATGGTAGTCATCATCCGTGAGCATAGACGATCCCCCTGGAAGTGTTCAGATTCTCTTGAACATCTGGTGCCAAAAAACAGGAACTTTCTTCAGCTCAAGCTTGAGCCATTCACCCCTTCATCCTCCTTCTGTATATATAAAGCATCTGAAACCTGCCTTGGGCCCATGGGGCACCCGGCTGCTTCCACTCGCCGGCACTGGTCTCCATGCTGGCGCGGCCCAACGTCCAGAAGGCGGCACATTTGGAGACGTCAGAGTCCACCTGGCAGAAATTGAAGCTATGAGGTTTTGGTTCAATTAGTATCAAACATTATCAAACATGATTGATCAATGACTTGTTAAGCCTCTACAAAAAAAGAGACACACAGACAAACACGCTTCTTGGTGGAGGTCATCAATCTTGAATCGAGGGCCACCCCAGCTCACGGAAAATTCATCATTTCGAGGCGTGGTTGCCACAGGAGGGCTTCTGCATGCTTCTGAAGGGCAGAAAACCGTTTTGCTCAGGGCAAAGGTTGCATTTCACGTCGTCGGACCTGCCGTAAAAGAAGCAACGGTGGCGTGGCGACCGCGGTGGCGACCCGCCGATCTCAGGCCCCTCGTTGGATGCTCACCTCTTCCAACAGCTTCTCCTCCTTACTGCTCAAGCTCCCCTGGCACACGTTTGGCGCTCGCAGAGTCGGAATGGAGAGTGTCAAGAGTCCGGAGGATTCACTGTTGTAATGCTCAATTCATATTATAATGAGTTGCATGTTCGATGCTATGCAATCTCCATGAATCAGCCACATTCCACCTCCTATGCCTGTTCTGCCTTGTGCCTGCCTTCTCCAATTTCCAATACACAAACACAAAGCATTGCTTGCTGCTCTACAAAACTGCTGAAACAACTCCAGCTTGGTGCCGGCGTGCCTTGAGGTGCTCAAAGCGCTCCAAGAGCTCAGCCCAAAGCTTCACCTGAGGAAACTGAACGGAGAAAACACAAGATCTGTAAGGAAGGTGTTTTAGAATAAGGACCACGAAAGCGCACCAAAAAAGTTCTTGACAGAAACATAAACTTGGCTATGATATGCTGTGATATATGGCTTGTTGATTCTACTACTTGTTACGGTGTTACAGCAAGTGGAGATGCTGGTAAATTTGCAGTTGGAAAATGTTCGGGGCTTCGAGCAAATGAAGGACCCGGTTGTGTTTCGGAGCCGAAATGGTTTGTGCATGTGCCCCACCTGTGCGAAGTGCATGGGCCTCGCCAGCCCCAAACGCCGCGCCAACTCGCTGCGCCACTCCAGGGCCGCAGCGCGGCCCTGATGTTCCAAGTGTCGGGAATGTCGCACATCCCACCCAGTGGTCATACGAGTGGCTCACAAGCTTTGCCAGATGTTGTTTCTCCAACACTACTCCAAAGGAAAGGAAAGTGGGAAGTCGAAGTGGTGTGTTCATTGGACACTTCTTTTTTTTGTATATATAGGACTATCTATAGGGTGCATATATGCACTGAGGGCCACGTGCAGCTTTAAAATGGATCGGAGTGGACAAAATCAGATCACGTCAAGTTCAGCAGGGCAGTCGCAACCTCTGCGAAGAATTGTTCGACAGTATTCGACCCAGTTCGGTCCAGTCACTGAAGCCTCAATCCAGGCGGATCCTGCCTCAAACTTGAAGCCCAACACACAAAGCAGGTTCAGCGCTCGGACCTGGTGACATATTCCGGCGGTTCTTGCTGCTGGAATGACGTGTATAGTCAGCGGACTCCTGCAAGAAACAGACCACACAGGTCAGAATTCATCACCTTGGATCGTTGAACAATTACGAGCGGATATTGCGTGCTCTGGATGGCAATCACCGCAGAAGTGCTCACCACCAATCACGGGCACTCCTATTTCCAGGAGATGGAGCGACCCACAACTATATCCAATGTCCACGCCGTCCACGCTGCTTTTTGTTGGTATGTTTGCTCATTCCTTAGCGATCTATGTGTCATTCTGCCACTACGGTTGAAGGAAAAGAATTGTGCAGGGACGGGGTAGAAATGCCCCTTGCGGATTGCTAATTGGCTGACTGGCTTGGTGCAGGGTTTATCCAATCCAATGGCCTATATCAATATAGCCAGAAAAACAAATGCTCCCAGTTCCCTGTAATCTCAAGAACTGTAGCGCTCTCCCTGGTTGAACACCCAACACCTGCCCGGACCTATCCCATCCTCTCAACTATCAGACTCAAGACTTTGGCTTCACACAGTGCCGGTCTCCATCACATCACTCCACCCTCCGGACGACAGTCCGCCTCCGGTGGTGCCAAGCTGTCGCTTTTGGAGGCTTTGTAGCGGTCCCGCAAGGCCTGACGCTGCAAGTGTCCCAAAACGACCCAGTCCGTGGTGGGTGGTGATGAAGCTTGCCATGTCTCTTGGGAGGTGTTATCATATCCATACTTCTACCGCTTATCACACCAGCACAAAGAATGTAACAAATGAGGTTGCGTAGCACTGAGAGAGTGGATCAGTTCCCAACTCCTAAAGTTTCGGTAGCCGGAGTCTCCTCCCAGTGAAGTTCCAGGCAAAAAAAAACATGAGCAATATATTTGATCATACGTGTGCAGAGTGTGTTACAAAGTATAGTTGTCCGAGAGGTGAAACCCAACCAAGCTCAACAGTAGGCAGTAGGCATTGAAAAAACCTCTTCCAAAACGCAACGGCAGCATCGTACTTGATACTCTAAGCTGAATCCTACAACGATTGATGCCCCTGGCCCGGCATCCAAAACGTATGCATTTGTATTTTAATCGGGACCCCCCCATCCATGGGTTCTGGTCTATTTTCTTTCTTTCAGCGGAAAAACATTGAGTCTCCCTATTCAAATGCACACCTGAATCATCCTGAATCCAAGAACTTCGTCCTATCACACCTGTCCTCTCTGTGTCCTTTCCCGAACTCTTCGTACCTCGTACTCAGGCAAAACCACTGAGTGCACACCTCAGCTCTGGGAACGACAGTGAAATGCCGCCCCTTGGAGTCACCCCATCTGAAAGTCCTGACCAGTGCGGATTCCGAGCGTACCTTCAAGAAGATGTTTTGCCAACATATTCATACCATCCCGGCTTTGTTATGACAGGATATGACAGGTGTGCAGTTACGTTATATATATATGTGATATGGTTTGAGGTACTGATCGAACGTCCGCATTTTGCCTGGATTGGACTTCCATAAAAATCAATTCTTGAAACCTTGTTTTGTTCATGCGCAGTAGTAACATGAAGTAACTACACAGCAGTACCACTTGTGGACTACATGGTGTGATGTTGCAACAGAACATGCTCCACGAATGAAGATGCCCCCCCCCCAACCCAAACGTCATCCTCTTCTTGCAAACCCATCGGAGGAGAGCAGTTCAGCCCGTGTCCCCCGTGTCGCTTACGCGTGACGTGACGGTCTGCCGCCCAGCAGCCATTGCTCCACGTGACCTTCCGCTCGATGGCAGCCAACGTCTCCTCAACAAGTGGGTGACCCTGACCGAGGTGTTGTCGTGTTGACAAGGTCACCCATGGTCACCCATGGTCACCCCAAAATATGAAAAAAGAAAAACATCTATGAAGTGGACGTGGGGCAATGTCCCCGTCTTTGCTTCTCTATGCCCAGAATGGCACGGCATGTGCGCCAAAGTCCTTCACACGGTTGTTTATACTGGCTGAATATGAGTTGCCCAAGTTGTGGTGGGGAAGGCCACTGTCTAGACCCCTAAATGGTGCGGACCATCCACTGCTTTGTCCGGCGAGAGACACGAGTCTTGGCGGAATCCTTCTTATCGTCCCACCTCACCTGGGTAAGAGGTGGGTTCTTTCCAAGAGCCACCAGTCTGAAACTGC